GAGTCGCTTATAAGCGACAGGGGTAAAACATTATCAGGATACCCTGTTTAGTCTTACTAAAGTTTGCTATTTTGACAGCACTTATTATAGCCGAGCGTCGCCCTCGGTCAACATTTCCAAGCACATTGCATGGCCTCATGTCGCTAACATGCGACCAACGCACGAATCTACGGAAACAGGTAAAAACTGGATAAAGTTGGCAACGCCGTACGGCAACCAGTCACGTGCTTTACAGAAGACAATGATCTCGTGCGTATAAGCGTCATTAGGTTATGCACAAGAGTAAAAGTAAAAAATTGGCAACCCCGCAATTAAGTAAAATTGTAAATTAGGTGTCGCGTATCAGCGACATTAGGCATATAGAAGTATGAAATATTAAAGAATTAATTCCGGCAGGCACACGTGCAAAAAAAAACAATTCCGCCCTTAGAGAGCTAACGAATGTCGGAGCGTTCATTCTTCTTTTTAAGTGTCAGTTTGGATTTAATTCAGAGCTCTGCATAGTTATTACTAGCATAATTCGTACAGTCTGTTCGCTATACTTACGCGGGTTTCGGATTAATTAATTATTTGTAACAAATTTAGTACCTACCCTAATGTTATTTTAATTTAAATCTGACCATTAGGGCAATTTTACCCAATTTCTTGGGAAGAGGCTTATTGGAACTAGTTGTCAATGACTAATTTGCATAATTTTGTTAATCCGAAACCCGCGTAAGTATAACGAACATACTATATCTGGCGTTATTGGCTACGGCCTACTTTAGAAACATTTTTTTTGATCATTCTTTATTTTACTGTATACATATGTATTATGATTGTTCCTACAATAAAAAAAAATTATTAAGAAAATACTGGTGGGAATAAGGAAGTAAAACACAGGGATTGAATGTTCGCGTATAATATATATTAATATTCAATTCCAAAAAATTTACATCACTACTATGAAGTGTATTGCTATTAATTTAAAAATTAAGCAAAAAAATATATGCACGTTTCTCAAAAAACATCCGTTTCAATTAAAATAAACAAAAAAATACAACCAGATTCTCGAATCTGCTGAGAAGTTCACAAAATGTCAACTGAAAATATACAGTATGTACAAACTAAAACTCAATAGTAATTAAACATTATAGAAACAAGTCCAATAGCCTCAGCGGTATACCTTATAGGCAATGTTCATAACCAACAAAACCAATTAACAACAAAAAAAATACAACATTTCTTTAGTACATTCTCTATTCGGCGAAAGTTTGTGTATAATCCCAGGACATACAGAGAAAAAGATTGATTCATAAAATAACAAAATCAACAAAGTCAAAAAATACTTAACATTTTTAAAGTCTAGTTTCTTAGAGAACAGTGACAAAACAGTAATTAAAAATGTTATTTATTCGAGGTGTGGCTAGAAAAAAAACCCGACTGATAATTTTGCAGAGCGCGTCAAGGTGAAACGGAACACATCTCTCTCTACCATGATTGTCAAGGGCGCTCCGCTTAATTGAGCCGTTACCTTCGTTCGAAGTGGACTTTGCATCTGTGATCCGCCGAAATATGTCAAGGAGAGCAATGAATCAATGTAAAATTACTTAGAAAACTCGAAAAAATCGGCCACAGAAACGAATACTTTATTGAAAGAAGGATATGGAGGTTTCAGAGTGATCATAGAGAGATGAGAAGTGACCACCAGACGATTCGCGCACTGGATTGTCTTGTATCTCCAAAACAGACACAAACATTAAAAAGGTCGAAAATTATTTTGGTTGTTACTGAATTCGTAGGAATCGATTTTAACAACAAAGTCATGGTTTCTTTATTAAAACAACCACTGCAGCGCACACTGCACTATTTATTAAGCAGTTTTTCGCTAAGTATTGAGCTTTTTTATTACCCAAGGTAAAATCAGCATTGAAAGGATTTGAGACAGTAGATATGTCAAATAAAAAGCGGCAGCACTGTATGGAGCAGTGTAAAAATCGTGGAGTGAAGTATATTGAAGGCGATAATGTTAAAATTGTGAAAGAAAGGCAATGAACGATTTTATAGCACTAATCTGGTTTTTTCTAGCTACACATCATAAAAAGTACCGTTAATTTGAAGATATACAAAAAGTTAAAAAAATATTCCTTCTATTTTATTTATGGATTGTTAAAGTTAGTTTGAATAATTCGAAAGGTAAAGAACATTTAAAATGAGAAATATGGTGCCTTACTAAAAATGTAACTGGACCACTTAGCCTTGGCTACTTCTTTTAAGTCTTGGAAGAAAACAGTCTATTCGATTTAGTTAAGCGCTCAATAAGTTTCAAAATATATTGAAGTTATGGTGATTATTTTGTATGAAATGGTACATACTGATTTTAGCGTCAGGACTTTCAATTTACAATAGGCGATTTAAAAAATAAGAATAAAAACAGTTGCAGACCTGCAGAATATATTTTAAATGGACGAATTCGATTTTGGAGAGTATTATTTTAGAATGTACTGTGGAAGAAAATGTTCTAATAATTGGAGGACAGTGGAATGGGATAACTTTAAATGGGCACTGAGTTGGTGATAATTCTTGAGGTGTCACGTAGGTATATAGATTAAGTTTTAGATCCACAATTTGCCGGCCATTGGATACATAATTTATTCCGAGGTAAGATAATGTCCACTCACACATAGTCAGAATCCAATAGAGCATATTCGGGATACATTTGGGCAGCGATTAAAGAAAAATCAGCCAATCTGGAGTACTTCAATCATCCAGATTTTTTTATAAAACAGAGTATGATAAAAAAGATTTGTAATGGCAAGTTATTCTATGAACAAAATCTTGGTTTTTAAAATTAGCTCCATTTTCGTGAGTAATGCACTCGCATTTGATTAACGACTTAAAAAATTAACATCTGAGTAATATTGTCAAAAAGTCAAAAGGGTAAAAAAAAACTATTTTTTAAATTTGCATTAAGTCACATATTTTCCGCCCAGCAGGATTCTGCAAAAAATTGTTTTTTTTTATAAACGATCAGTTAAATATATTGTGTGTATTTATCTCTGAATATCCTAGGAATATACAAAAAAAACCTACTGGGGCACCAAGGTCAGTGTGGCAACTTTGACAAGACGAATGTAGGAATATAACAAATATTTACTAAAAGAAAAGTATCCAAGGATTAGAAATTCACGGTTTTGATCGATATATGAAATTGTCAAAATTTTTTTTATAGAAGAGAACAATTTTTATTAAAGGTTTCCGTATAAAGTTTTTTTACTCTAATTATAACGAGTTTTATACAGAAATCGGTACCGGTTTTGTACAATAATTATTTCTAATCCCCAAATACATAAAAAATACTATTTTTTTCGGAAACAGTTTATAAATAATCACAACGTAATTCATAATAGATTCAAAGATTGAATTTACGAATAAGTAATTCTAAAAGACGTTTGACGGTGTCATTTTTAACAAATCAGTCAAAAAATTGTCTTCATATTCCAATCATTAGGCTAATACATAATTTAACCATTTTTTTTTAATTTTTGGATGATTACATTTAAGAATTGGCACTATTATTAAATTGACACAAAGTCGGAGCTTAAATATTGTGAGCATAAAGGAAATATTAATGGGAAAATATAAAACTCGTAATGCATCTACTTTCATATACAGATCTAAAGAATAAATCAGTCTGAGAAATATATAAAATGAGGATACTTTAAATCAAATCAACCTATGCAATAAAGTTAACGTCAATATTCGTTTTAAACTTTTACAGCCCAATAAACTCTTGACAGATGTTTTGAATGTGAGTAATTTGAATTTTATATCATTGAGTCAGATAACATTCTCAAGATCTGTCAAATTTTATCACGCCCATACATTTTATTGAACGTTCTTGCAACTGGTAGTTATAGTGTGAAGTAGATAAAAGCTCAAAGGAGGAATTATTAATTAAATGAAACAATGTTAATTATGGCGGTAGAAAAATTGGTGTGTGCAAAATGTCCACTTTCGAAAGAGGCCTTTTTTTCCAAGCGACAACGCATCACTTTACGCTTTTAGTAGACAGATAACTACTTTGGAGTTCTTTTATCGAGGGGTAAACCGCAAAGGAAATTGCCAGGATTTTACATATAAAGGAATTCAGACGAATTACTGAAAATTGCCGTGAAATTGTATAGTAAAAGGGAATTCGGGGTACACATTTTCACCTGCAGTTTACCTCTCCGTTTTTTTTTTATATGATTTCTTGATGTCAAGAAATATTTTGTTTATTGGTTGATTTGAAATGAAGTACCAGAATAAAAAGAAATTTATGGAAATGTTTTTTTTTTCGTAGTCATCCATTTTAAAAATTAAAGTTTTCATAACATAAAAAAATTGGAAGTATATTTTTCGCAATTCACTACGTTAAAAAAACACTTAAGTTCAGTTCACGCAAAACATTAAAATTAGCAACAATTTATTCTAGTAACCAAACGTTTACACCAAAACACGTTTTTAGTAAAAATGTTTTTTTTTTTAATTGTAAAAATCGTTTTAAGTTATTTGGATAATCACTACTTGTCAAAATCATTTTAAAAGTAAATATATAATGTAAATGTAATATTTCAGCAATTTTATAAATGTATAATAAAAATATATGTTTTATAAACTACTAGCCAAGGATGGTCACTCATATTGATCACATATTTTTTTATAATAGAAATTAGATAACTTTTTTAATGTAAACTAATTTTGATCCCAATTTTTATTCTTGTTCATCACATTTTTGCCCTCAGCGTCTCTTAAACTTGTTATAAGAAGTTGTTTTTTGTAAATACTTTTTCAAAAGTTGGTACATTTATACCTTTTTACCTATTGCTCCTATCTAATTAGTTTTTGAAGGGAATACGGACTGGTGTATTCTTTCTATGATATCCAATTTCACAGACTGGACTTATTTTTAAAGGCTGTCTCGTTACAAAAGAAGTGGCATTTACCTAAAATTTAACTAATTCGTTTTTTCGGTAGATAAACTATCAAAAATGCTTAAGTAAAAGAGAAACTGTCAACGATTTTGCTAATCAAGAATTATGGTTATTAAGAATTATGATTATTTTTATGAAATGATGTTTTCATTCAGTTGGTTTAAAAAGTAGTAAAATGGGGTTACCATGGTTACTATCGAAATTATGGCTCGCATTTTAATAAAAAATCTGAGAGAAACCCTAAAGTATGGTTCTCAAAATATTCGTAAAAATGTTTAAAAAAAAAAAAATTGGACAATACAAACAGGTGGAACCTTTTTGAAACATAGCAGGGAGACAAATGGCTCTATTGCAATTATTGAATTCACTGAATATTTTTTAATTATTCAATATGATATTGGCGTGCATCATTTAACAAAAATAATCATTCCTGAATCCCAAAATTGCTGGCAGTTCCGCTTTATCTAAAGCATTTCTAATAGTTTAATTCCCGAAAAAACGTACTAGTTCAATTTTAGATAAATAGAATTTCTTTTGCAACCAGGTAAATGAAGCCATTTAGAAAGTCCTGATAGTCCAGTCTTATCTAAAAATTGTCAACTACAATTGGACACGACATGTAAAAAGTTATTAATTGTTAAAAGTGTAATTTAGCACAGTGTACATACATTTCCTTAATTTTTATCTTCAACTTTGCAGTTTGAAAATTTTTGTTCATTTCTTTGAATCAAATACTTTGATGGCACATTGTTCTTTTCTTTTAATATATTTATCTATTTGGTTATTAAATATGACAATTCGATTTATTTTGATTCTAAAACAAAACTAAAAAAAGTAGGTATAAAAAGTTTTTTGCAGTATGGTCAATATCAACGTGATCATAAGCCAATAATTCTAGTTAGTTTTGTAAAAAAAAATATATTAATCTGATATAAACTTCAATCTTGTAGCAACACCTTTTTTGACCACAATTGTTCATGTCTTGTGACAGTTTTTTCATAGACGAACAAATGTAATAAAAAATACTTTGGTAAAAAGATGCTTAAAAGTGTCCAAATCATAAAAAAGATATAAAATTCGCTGTTATAAAAATAAGAGAAAACACTTGAAATTATTTCTGTGGAAAATGACTTATGTAAAACAGACAATTTTGTAAACAGAAATAATACATTTATATTTCGTGATAAAACTATGATAAAATATTTTTTTCTAGTTTTAATTAAATAAACGTCTACAGTGAATGTATTTCCTACATATTCCATAGGAATGAAAAACATTAGACTCTTAAAATGCCTATTTACAAATTGTGAATATCCAAAGTAATTTTTTAATATGCGTTTTAATTGTCTGCTTACAGAATATTTTCTAGGCACTGAAAAACATTAAAAAAATATACCCATCAACGAAAAACGTTGGCATCGGTCGTCTAAATATTCCCCTATATCTATATATTACGAAAACAAAATAACTGGTAGTGCATTATTTAAAATAATCACCCTATATATCATGAACAGGTGAAAAATAGAGAGGTTACAGTAAGAGGCTTTCATTTGGACGAGAATTATACTCTTTTTCTTTTTTAATAAATATCAAAAAACACCTTTTTACTATATAAGTTAATATAATTTCATTTATTTTTTTTACAGTATTCTTCAATAACAATTTTAGAATACTATTTTTAGCTGAGTTTTTCCTCCACCAGATCCAACCTGGCAAATCTTGTATATAGGCTGTTACGTTTTAAAGATAATTAAGATATTAATTTGATTCCCTACATTTTAACTCGGTAGATATGTTATCTTCTCGATGAATATTTTTAATTCGATATTAACTGATATGGTCCGTTAAACTTTACAAAAAAACTAAATGTAGTTTAGAATTGTCAATTTTAAAGTATTCTTTTGATTTTAACATTTAAAGGAGGGCAAACAATCAATGACATATATTCATTAAAGAATTGTTAATGCTAAAGTAAAATATCAAAAAAAGTATTTATAAGTTTGTGACAGGACTTCAGAAGTCATTTGTAAAATGAACAAAAGATATATTTTTCAAATACATCTCGTATATCTACGAATTTAAAAATTTACCCCATTTTTAAAATATCACTATGAAGCATATCAGTAAATTTGATTGATCTCATTTTTTATTCAAAAAAACGTAACACTCGGTATACATACAATCTGTCCATCTGGCACAACAAAATTGGAATGTACCATTAATCATTCACAAAAAAAAAATACAAAATATCCTCAACAAAATTTGAATTGTCATCAAAGATTGTTCCTTCAGTTGCCGTTACTCCGATTAGGTGGTAAATGTTTCAAAAATGAAACTAACCATAGTTACACATATTTATAACGTGATTTTAAAATTGAATTATTTTTTTTGTACTTATAAATGGCTACACAAACACTTGCTATCTTCAACCTCTGGATATTTTCACATGAATAAATTGTTAATTGCTGTAAATTCCAGTTAATATAACTGGCCTGTTTTTAATTATTAATACAGGTGTTTAATAGAGATTAAAATGTAAAGAAACGAAGTTTATGTATTCGATAAACATATAAATAATAATTGTGTAGAAAATTTTTCATCAACAGATAGCCAATCGTTTGAACATGGTTCAAAGTACGATCAGCAGGACAATTCGAAATATTAAAGAAACTGGAGTAGTGTTATGTTCCTAAATTGGCCCTTAGAAATCTTTAGCATAGTAATAATAATAATTTAAAATTAGTTGGGCTATGTCCGCATAGGTTTGAATCCTGTATACACCATGTATTAGGGAATCCAAATCACGTCACTTTAAAAGGTGAGTTTTATTTGAAAAATAACAAAAAAATATGTATTTTCGGGTTCTATTTATAAACTTCTGAACAGCAATTGCATTACCTCAATTACATCGACAAATGGTTGTTGACAACAGACTGATCCAAAACCACCTCTACAGTTAGGGCTCAATTTAATTTTAGTTATAGGGATCCAAAACTAAGATCGCAGCGCCACCGAATACATTATTTGTCTGAACCACTTAAATAAAAATTATTATAGATGATGGTATTTGTTTACATATTATGTTTTAATTTTATTTTTGGTTTTTTCCTTCTATAATTGCAAAAATATATTAAGAATATTTGTGTAAACTAAGTTTCGGTTGAATTATTAGTTTTTAAAAACATTAACGAACAACTTGTGGGAAACTTTTTAGGTTAAGACAAAGTTATTTTTCCTGGTAACCGATTTATTTTAGTAAAATATGTATTTTTTATTTAATTTAGAATTAGTAATAAAATCGACATTTCTGGGACTCTGGGAATTTCAACAACTACTAAGATCTATAACCCAATGTTTTTTAAAATCATTACATCAAAGAACTGAAAGAAGTTTGTTTAAACGAACATGTCTAGTTTTTGAATGAATTTATTTCAAGTTCTGAAATTCTGTACTTTATTAGATCAGGAAATTGATGAAAAGTAAGGTTGGGATTTGTCTTTTTTTTTCAAGATTTTAATGAAAAATTATAATCATACATAGAGATATTGCTGGATTATTACCCAGTAGAGGTTCAAAGACAGAATATTATTTCAAATATATTTAATAGGGTTTAAACACCAATTTTAATTTTTTTAAACTTTCCTGCTATTCTTAAGAATAAAGGGACGCCTGAATTTTAAAATAAGTGTGTATTTACTAGTAATTCAATTGTAAATCGTCTTATCATTAAAAATCTCATGAAGAAATCAGTACAAATCATTTTAAATAAGAAATTAGTTATGTGGTATAAAACTTCTAATTCTAATAGAAGATAAATATGTTTAAAAATAAATACAAATAAATAGTTGATGTTGAATTGGAGGCATTTAAAATAAGTCATAATTTGAGATTTTTTAGAATTAAGATGCAACATTTCATTATGGCATTTTTAACACTTTTAAAATGTTTACCAAAAAATCGGAACGGTCTAAGCTTTTGAAAGTTCTCCAGTCGAAATTGTCAGATCGCACAGTGGCTGCAAGTCCAATTGCACTAAGAAAAAAATTAAATTGATAGGAATAAAATTTGCTTTATACATTTCGTGATGTCCTCTTGGCGAAAGTCCGTTGAAAGGCAGTAGGGCAAGGGGCCTGGAGCCACGACCATGTGACCGCCTTGGGCCGCCTCTGCCCAGCGTCAGTACCGGGAGTCAGTCATCTCTTGATCATACTCCATAACTAGTCTTTTGATGTGCGACAACTTGTCGTGCAGATACTGGAACCTGCGCTTCGCCCTCTGGTGTTCCATGTTCTTTTTGTTCTCGTTATATTCTCGTACTATCTGCTTTTTGATGTCCTACAATAATATTGATGTGTTAATAATGTAAAAGAAGTTAACAGAGTGAAGTGAGAAAATGCATAAAGGCATTCTGCAGGTACCCAAATTATAAAAGGAATATACAAATTCTACCCCAACTTTTATTTTTATAAATAACAACAAATATACAAAACTAATATTTTTAAAATCCCAATAAAATAGTCTCATCCAAAAAATGAATGTTGACTTGTATTGCAGAATAATTGAATCGGTCATTTGAGAAACGACACGTCACATTTTTGACCATTTTGTTTTTATTACAAAAATACAATATTTAAAGGTAAATTATAATTATTGAATTATACCCAAAATAGAGCAAGTTTTAAACGCTAAGTGTACAAAACTATTTTTTAACCATGTTTTGAGATTTTCACTTTTACATATTTTTTGAAAAATGATCTACAACTGACATGTGCTGTTTCTCAAATGACCGATTCAATTATATATTATAGTTTTTGAGTAAGTTTTCGTCCTTCAAATATATTTATGTGCATAAAGTTAGGAGGAAAAAGATGAGCCAAATGTTGACTATTATGCAAACCTCATAGTTTGTATTATTATTTATATGAAAAAGGGATTTTCAGACTTGATAAAGTCGTAAAATAAACGTCGGCAAATTACAAGGAGTTAATGTTTCTATGCATTATATAATTTGTTCCATAAAGTTGGATATAGCCCATAACTAATTTTTTTATAATTTCATTTTTTTTTAAATAATTGAAAGGACACCATATAAGGAACTAAAAAATATGTGGCCAATTTTTTGCTTATTAAAATTATTGGTTTTTATATTGAAGGTTATGATTGATATATTTAACAGATATGTTATTTTATAAACACACAGAAATAACAACCTGTTCACAAATAACGTGTGTCTGTTAAAAATCATATTTCGTGTCCATCATAACCCCCATTATTCCGGACCTTATAATATATTTTTAATGTATAATTATTACACATAAACTTACTTTATATTTGGGGCTATTCTCGTCCTCTTTCTTGAGTCGTTCTTCTAACTGAGCAAACCTTCTAGAGACTTTCTCAACAATACTATGCAAATCCCGATATTCCGTATAATCGGCGTTAAACTCTGTTTTATATTTCCTCCTTTGATCAGCATCTTGAATGGTAACATATTGCCTATAAAAATGCATTCTATAAGCTAAGTACTACCACTTTTGAATATGATTGTGATAAATGCAATTACTTCTAATTATTAAGGATGTTCTTAAATGGAAATCCACAAAGCATCGAATCAGGAATGGGTTAAAATATGCTAGCTAACAAGTGAAAACATATGAGTTAGAACTGATAAAAAATAAACATCTGTAGGAGGCCATTATCAAACTATTTCAAAGAATATGTGAAACTGTAATTAGCATTTATAAAATATTATGGTACGATTCGTCAAGCATTCATTTGTCAAATCATACCAAATGTAAAAATGTAAAGATTTCAAATAACGGGTTTACTTTACCACAAACATCTGTTGAACTTACTTTTTGTAGTCAGGATATTCATTCTCCTTTTCTGTACTAAAGTTGTTGTCTACGTCTCCATTTGACAAGCCCTCCGTCTGGCTGTCAGGACTTACTCTAGCTATACTATTTTCCGTGGAAGACGAAACATTTGTATATTTGCCAGCCCTATGCGCAACCGCCGGAATTGGGTTTTGCTGCCTGGGCAGGTGGTTGTTCCTAGGCACGCCGTTGATTATTCGATTTAGGGCGCCGTTTTGCTTCTCGTTCGATTTCTCCCTCTCCCATTTGTCGACTTGAAGCATTTTTACGGCCGGTGATACACTACGACTATCAACAAATGTCTTTTCTTGGCTTACATCAAAACTATAACAGCAATGAGAAAAAGTACGGTCAAAGATAATATGGTAAATCTTAATGTATGTTCACACTTATTTTAAATGGGCTAAAAGTTTGACTTCCAGTTCCACACATTCTATTATTCTCTGCGAGATTGTGGGTAAAGTCTAAAGGAGGCGCAATGGGCCATGTTCACATGTGAGATATGCTGTTTTATAAATTATATTGTAATAGTTAGTCGCTATACAAGTTATTCTAAATAGTCAGTTCGTTAAAAAAGCCAAAAGTTTTTAAATTAAGCCCAATTGAAATTTAAAATTTGAAATTATACGTCATCGGGAATAGACCAATCATCTTGTGTCGTAGTTTTTTTTGTTATACAAAACTAAGCCAACGAACAAACCGACACACAGAATGTCGAAGTGAACGCACATCTAAGTGACATTAAAATTGACACCACCTAACACCTAACCTTAGTTTTTTGTTTTGGTTAAATTTTATTATTAATATGAATCAGCTGGATTTATAAAAGTTAAATCAAGTGTTTTACCCATTGTAAACGAAAATATGATTACCGAGATGATTACTGCATTTTTTAACAATACTCAGTTTACAAAAGTCAGAAAGGTAAGACTTTGTTTTAATAGTAGGTATTTACAGTTTATATGGAGCCAATACACCTTATAGTAAAACATATTTATCTCAGGTTTTATTTTTAGATCTGCCAAGCAAGAATATGGGGATAATTTCTTTTTCCATAAGAGAGAAGGAGACAAATTACACCTAAACATAAAGTACGGAAAAAACCTTCTGATGTGGTTGTTGTAATTAACAAAAATGAAATTTTTAGTGCACAATATGCTTAGGATATGCTGCATGTCAAGGTTTGTAATATTTATTATGCTTTTTTGTTTTTATATTACATATAATAAACAGTGTATAAGGCCCTTTATTCCTGTAAATATTTTTTTCTAATTTTGACATATAGACATTTTTTGTAATCGCAGCAAGTGTTAAAATAATCTAGAAACAGATTTTGTTAGTGAACCTAGTAATAATTATGATACCAAAGAATGCTGCAGAGCACCTATGAAATTTTGAGTTAAAAAATATGCCATATTTTTAGGCTATACCCTTTTCAAAAATTTTATGCTCCTCGTTTTTTGCAAAACTTAAAATGCTCTGATAGCTTCGAACGAAGTCAGCAAAGCACCTCTGTTGTATAAAGTTTTTTTCTGTAAAAACAGCAACACCATATATTTATGCACTTGAAATATTATATTTTTAAAAATACATGGTGCTTGCTAACCTTCGAAAGAAGCCAGCAGAGCAATTCGGTTTTTTAAAGCTTTTTTTCTAATAACCACACCCCATTTTTAGACTCTTGAAATATTGTAAAACTTCCCTAAAAAAATTGCTATTTTTAAATAATACAGGGTGCTTTGTTGGAACAAAGTCAGCAGGACACTTCAGTTTTTTAATTTGTTTTTTTTTATATATAAAAACAACTACTTATGACACATGTTTAGGCTGTTTTAAAATCCTAAAAATGTGGTAAGTACATTTGTTTTCAGAAAAAAACTTTGAAGTCAGCAAGGAATTGCGAATTTTTTTTAAAATGCCAACTTTTGAATATTTTATAATATTGTAGGAGCCAAAAAACGTGATGTGGTTTAAAAAAAAACTGGGGTGCTCTGCTGGATTCGTTTGAAGCTAACAAAGCATCCCGTAATTTTTTATTTTATAATACTCAATAGCCTAAAATGAGACATAGCTATTTAAACAAAAAATTGTATTTTTAAAAATAGCAGTTTTTTACGAAAACCTCTATAATATTTCAAAAATGTGAAAATGTGAGATTGTTTTTTTTAAGTTTTGAAAATCCGAGGTTCTTTACTGGATTCGTTCAGAGCTAGTAAAGCTCTGCTCGTCTTGTTACATAAAATAAAGGCATTTTGTAGCTGGTTATATAGTTATTTTGTAACTGCATATCTAACCCTTTTATTTTTTTCAGTTGGTTGTAAATATGTGGCTTCATAGAAGAAGTGAGGAACCATCTGTAACATCTACTCAGTGTTATTGGAAAGGCTCTAATTTATCAAAATGCGTAAATATTGATGTACACTTGGCTAGATTGTTAAAGAAACCTCTTCATCCACTACAGGAAAATAAATCAGTACTTTTATATTCTTAGGATTTGTGTATATATTTTTTATTTGTAAATAAATTGTTTTTTACTTCATTTTTCTCATTTTTTATTAAAAGGTTAATAAATAAAATTTTCACAGATTTTTATATTTTTGTTTGTAAACAATAATTGAAGAGTTTTTATTAAAAATCACCAATGTTAATAATAATAACTTAAGTCAATATTATTCTTTCTCCTTTTTTAAAGCTACTATCAATAAAGGTATTACTTTAGCTTGACCTATGATCAATTTTTAAATTTTGTGATATATTTGGTTCGACAGAAAAAAAATTATAACCCTTTGACATTGGTTGTTTTTACTTAGATTTTCATAAAAAATAAACGGAACTGCAAACATGTTTTACTATCGTAATAACGAATAGCAACATTAAATTTTTTTTTTTTCACATTTATCACTGTTGTCATTTTCATAAAGGATTGATAAGAAGGCACACTTTCTGGTTTTTTGAAAAAGGTGGCAAGAATTGTGATATTTTTAAATTTATCACCAGTGATACCACATGTAGTTACCCGATTTATTGGAATATATAGACTTTGCTACCACATTCAACTGAACTTGGTTGTTTTTAATATTTATTACTGTGACATAGGCGTTTTTGTCAAAATGTTTCATTTTAAACTGCTGTAAATAGGTGCCTTTGTTTTGGTAGTTTTAAAAAAATCTGCATATACAGGTACTCATTCCTCTTTGATTTGTTCGAAAAGTTAAAATTTTATTAAAAATTACATTGGCTGTTTAAAAACTCATTATAATCCCTGAAATGTGATAATTAGGTAAATTAAATTAAAAAAACAAACAAAAAAAATTTATTAAATTAATATTTACTCTTACAAAATAGGTTCTTGTAAGTTAACAAGCAATTATGCAGATATTACTAAGTAAATGTACTTGCTTAAAATTCACACACGAATGTGGTTTTAACATGTTAAATTAACTAACCCTTCTTATAACTCTTTCCACATGTATTCTTAGAGATGCTATTCTTTTACTTAATTGTACATCTTCTGGAGAACTTTTTTCATTCTGTGATACACTAGGTGTGGCTTTACTAAAGTGCATCCCATGTTTTCAAGTAGCTGAATATTCTGAAACCCCTATCTGCCATTATATGGGATCCAGGAACCAGTTTGTTTAAATACCCACATTTTTCTATTATTTTTTTATCACTAGTTCTTCCACAAAATGATGAATAAATTCGGTATCTTCAAAACTTTCAGGAGATTCTGCATTTTCTTCCAGAAGGGTTTTTAGGTTATACACCTAAGAATTTGTAGTAGCCTCATTTTCAATTTCCTGAAGAGGACAATTAGCAGAAATTGCTGCTACATCTTGATAATCCGGTGTATTTTTATTAAAAAGTTTACGAGAAACATCGCTAGTAGAAGGTTGATTTTCTTCTTTCCAAATTTCTAGGAACACTAATAAATATTTTTGAAGATGAATGTGAATAATTATCACATTCTGGAACAAAACGCTTTTTCGTAGTCATAATATTTATAAAAAGTACAAAATTAAACACTCAAATTCCAAATAAATTCTTGATCGAGACACTATGATGACAGATGCCATACACAGTGCTGCCATTTTGCCATTTTCTGAATTATTGGCTTTTAAAACAATGAAACTTTAAATATGGTAAAAGTTTAAACAGAAATAATACTTTCAAAAAACATTTGATATTAAATATTTAAAAGATATTTGTTTAACGATGTTTTAGAAGTCTAAAAGTAAGAAGGAGTACACAAACGAACGTACATCACTTCTCGTAAACCTTCTAGCCGGCAACGTTGTGCGCTAGCTCCTATTGGTCTATTCCCGGTGACGTCATAAATTTTAAAAAAATTCATAACTCCGGCAAATGAATAGATAAAAAAAAATAAAAAAAATGTAGTTTTATTTTTAACTCTACTATTCATAAAAAAAATTTCAAAATTTTTAACATGCCCCATTGAACAACTAGCGTTTATTGGTTTGTGTTTAGTTAGTCCACATTTAAATAAATAGGTTTGTCTGTCTTCTGAACGGTCACAAAATTATTTGGATCAAATCAATGAGCAGACGCTAATTTAGTAAGGTTTCGTGACCGTACAAAAATAAACATAAGTTAAAATGTTACCTGTACTACTTTGTTTTTTCTTTTATTGAAATTTACTTCAGTTCGTCGACTACAATTATAAATGATAAAGTTTCAAAATAAAAAACTTGTAACGGCACCTGGTACAATTATCAACAAAAATGAGCAATACAGTTTGTTCCAACAGAGCGAAAACCCATACATTGCATCATGGTCTTATGCAGTAGATTAGAGTCGTTTCAACAAACAAATGATCGTTTAGTAAATGATCTTCTTAAAGCGTTCAAACTAAATTCTGACCATTCATTAATTGGTTTTGTAAGATAATTTCGATACATGAATAAAAGCAGGAACCGATTTGAGCATTCATCGACTGACAGCTAATAATTGTGCCAGGTGGTGAACTAAAGTAAGGTTAGAATTAATATAAATCACAAAACATTCAATGATCATTGAAAATATTAGGTATATGATAAATCAAACATGTCAAGAAACAGTATGAAATCAGCGCGTGCGCATTGAATTGGTCCAAATAGTTTTGTAACCTTTCAGAGGATGGTACAAAAGTTATACGTTGGAGCAAACCTATACTTAAATCGAAGTAAGTGTCCTGTCAGCTGACGAATGCTCAAATGCAGTCCAAGCACTTCCTGCTTTTAATCATTTACCGAAATGATCGAAAAGCAATTAATTCATGAAACGCCTCTAATTTACTGTGCAAGACACTTGCGGTACAATGTACATTTTTTTCAGTCAATTGGAAAAACCTAGTACATTTCATATAAGCATAAACGTGATTAGAATGCAGAAAAGTTACAACTGAGGAGCAAAAATAAGGTCTGGCAGTTAGAAAAACAACGCCAGAGTCATAACTGAAGAACACAAAAAACTCTAGGAGTCAGAACAAAAAAAGCTCTAGAAGTCAGAACAAAAAAAAACTCTAGGAATCAGAACAAAAAAGCTCTAGGAATCAGAAAAACAATAACTCAACTAAGGATAAGAAACTGTAATATTGCTGTTTACAAAAGTATGATTCAGGAATATTTGCTAGGGAGGCCTGCGACATCTTTGTTATTTTTCAGAGGTCGGCATTCAAGAGTTCTCACGCATCAGCCCCCTTGTTAGATTTGCAACAAACATCTCAATAATAATTTAAATATCAAGCCTTGTGATGTTATTCCCGTTACCTGATTAATTTTATTCCAATTTTGGATATAATATATCTATTTACAATGTTTAAAAGATAATATGCTGTTATTTATATCAAAAGAGAAAGGGTTCATCATTGAACCTAATTTCATAAGCATATGGAATAAGCAGAACGATGTCAGTATGCCATAAATGTACATACATAATTATAATACAGGTACTTAGCCATCAAATTATACACATAATTAGATAATATCGTAATTGAATGTTGCAGGCTTCTCAAAATAGGTGGCCTACATACTATACTTATTACGGTACATTTAGCAAAATATAAAATTATCCTACTTGACACTACAGCCAGTGAGATATTTTCCGTCAAAATGAATTTGCTAAATAGCTTGTAAATAACACACTTTCACATCATCAACTTAAATAAATGATAATTAAAATTTAGTAAACCCCAAATGAAAAAGTTTACAATATTAAAAGGAAAACCACAACTACGTAACAACTTTACATATTTTGCTGAACCGTTAACAAAGAAAAATAATTTTAACAGTATAATATTCAGCTATTACGAGTTTAAAAGCTTAGAGTAAAAACAAACAAATTTAAAAAATCCACATACTCCAGTAGGAATCAAATCTGGGATGTTCAAAGGTATATTACGCATACTTTCAATGAACAATATAATAATGTATAAACATGATATTAACAAAAACAATAATAAACGACGTTGTGATAAAAAATTCTACTAATCAAGCAATTACAGATAACAAATAGATAAAAAAACTACTTACTGACTATCACACGCTCTCTTTCCAACCTCTTCCTCTTCATCACTAGATTCTTGTTTGATATCTAGCGTCATAATATTATTATAAGTATTATGCCCATTGACTAACCCATACCCACTAACAGCGGTGCCACCGCCGCCAACTGCACCACCATCACCCCCGCCTGTTGGAGACTCCCTACTTCGCGGGTTCATGTTACTCGTATCTCGTGAGTCTGTCACTGGTCTCCTCTGACTATTAATTTCCACTGGTGGGTGGTAAATTGGATCGGAGTGATGCTGAAACAAAAAATGGGACATTCTAAATGGTATACATTTTTTGGATATTTGCATAGATGGTTAAGCTACATGGTAAAAAATAAATATGATATCTTTCAGTTAATCTGTATAAAGTTGAAATCTATTGAAAAACTACAACATATATTTGTGACTGAGGAGTCGTGGGATATCCCACGGTTTTGTCCGTCCTGGCAACGCTGAAGTATTCGTTTCCTACTCCCACTAATACTCTGTAGTTTTCACTTGGACATTAACAACGTGTATTGGAAATCGTTCAGTGACCGACACTGTATAATGCCAAGCATTACATATCGTCGCCCTTATCACGAAGGCCTTGCTTTATTGTTTGGTAATTCCACATTAGTCAAACTCCCTCGGGATTTAAAAAAAAAATAGTCAGTTATGCCACTTCCTGACAAACAATTTTCTCACTTTATCAGATAGACCTTAATTGAGTATATTTTATTAATTTAGTTGTCATTGTTTTTAATGCAATATTATGTATGTTTTATCTGCCTGTGATTATATTTAACCCTTAACCAGAAGTATGTGTCTCTCAGACACGCACCATTTTTAATTTTGCCGCCATACGTAAATCAATCAGCACGCCTTCTCCAGCTTCTAAGTATCTTCCTAACAAACTATATAGCCCACTATTTTAGAGTCTGCAGTCAGTTACCATCTGCTTCCTCGTGAGTAGACGTAAGTGCGCGCTGTCTCTCAGACACGTACTTCTATTAACGTATAAAGTAGTTGAGTGTCCAGTAAACACATACTTTCTTTAACGTATATTTTGTTGGTAAGTTGCAAGTGTGATATAGTCACTTTTTTTTGAAATGATAGACAATGTCATGCAGGTTGATTTGTTTTGCAAAAATGGATGGGTTGTTCCAAAGACTACGCAGAGATGAAGTTTTTCGATACGGTGACCCAAACTATGAAGAAAAGGTTATGCAATGTCTAGCAGAGTTAGAAGAAGAAGATGAAGAAAATGTTGGCGAAGATGTTCCTATATTTGACTCAGATGACGATGAAAATGACCCCGACTGTACAGATGACTTACAACCTGAAAAATTGAGCGACGACTCTGATGATAATCTAGATACAACAGAAAGTGATTATCAAGGTAACACTGCTGGAAATAACGTATGCCAAACAGAATCTGCATTACCAGATTATTTTGTAAGTAAGAACAACTTCAAATGGATCAGCACTGAACCTTTAACAAAAAGAAAGACACCTCAACACAATATTACAAAGGGTTTACCTGGAATGAGTAACGAAGTGAGTGTTAGGATCAATTCCCGATGTTGAAGATATTTGGTTGCTTTTATTTGGCGAACCAATTATTCAAGACATAGTAAAATGGACCAATGTAAAACTTGAAAGCGTACGAGAAAATGTGCACAGTAACCAAAAAAGTAATTTTCGACCAACCGATAAGAAAGAAATAAAGGCTCTTATCGGGATTTTTATGTTGACATCAATATATAAATCAAATCATGAAAATATGCTTTCACTATTTTTGACAAAGGCTACAGGACGACCAATATTTCGATCAATTATGTCAGTAAAAAGGTTTCAAATTCTTATAATTTGCTTGCGATTTGACGATCCACTAATGAGAGCAGAAAGAAAAAAGTCTGATCCCGCAGCTGCCATATTTCAGACGTTTCAACGATTTGTAAGCAATTGTCAAAGAATATATTCATTAGGTGAATACGGTACCATTGATGAAATGCTGGTTCCATTTAGAGGACGTTGCAAATTTCGGGTTTACATGCCAAATAAGCCCAATAAATATGGCCTAAAATACTTGCTTTAACAGATGCTCGCACCAGTTATTTCTACAATGCATATATATTTATTGTGGTAAAGGATCTGATAGAACAGGTTTGTCTGAAGAAGAAAAAAAGCTTACAATATCCACCCAAACTGTAGTTCGATTAGTATCACCTATTATAATCAGTAACAGATATATCACTGCAGACAATTGGTTTTCTTTGATTGAACTTATTAACGAACTGTTAAAAAGAAAACTGACATATGTTGGCACCCTAAAGAAAAACAAAAAAGAAGTTCCTGAAGCATTTTTACCTAATAGCCGTAGAAAAGAGGGGTCAGCATTATATGGGTTCACGAACAATATAACATTGCTAAGTTATGTTCCCAAGAAAAACAAATCAGTTCTACTGGTATCAAGCATGCATCACTCAAAAGGAATAAATGATGAATAAACAAATAAACCAGAAATGGTTACGTTTTATAACCATACGAAAGGAGGTGTAGACTCCATGGATCAGAAGTGTGCCAATTACTAAGCTAATAGAAGGAGTCGACGCTGGCCGCTATCGATATTTTACATGATGGTGAACATATCAACAGCAAATACACATATTTTATATGTATGCTTCAAAGACGTACCAAATACAAAACGGTTCCAGCTTATAGAAACTCTAGCGCTAAAACTAATAAGACCTCATTTAGCTCGTAGAATGACCATACCGAATTTACGAGCTGAACTACAGTCTGTAATAAAAGCAGTATTGGATGATAACAATACAGAAGCGGTGCAACATAATGATGACATAAAAAGTGACAGACTTGATAAGAAAAGGAAATGCAGTGTGTGTCCTTACACAAAAAATAGAAATACCGCTTACAAATGCATTCAGTGTCAAAAGCCAATTTGCTTACAATGTTCAAGAAAAATTTGTGAATTATGTTGTAAGAAAAACTCACTAACTTTTTATTGTTCGCATTTTACTTACTTTATTTTGTTTGTTGTTGATTGCATTTTCGATAAAATGTGTCATTTTCAACATTTTCATTTTTAAGTTAATAAATATTTCCCAAAAGGCCGCCTAGTACCATGATTTTCTTTGTATGTGTCCATGAGGCACATACTTCTTATTATAGACAAAAAAAAATCGATACTTCTGGTTAAGGGTTAATACAGGTTTAGGAAATGACAAACAAATAAAAATTATGTTTAATGTTTTTATTAAGAAAAATAAACAACTAAAAACTATGATTAAAAATAGTTGGAATTGCGTTTAAAACTCTCATTCTTCATCAAATAGTACCTGATAATATTTCTGCAATTCAGGTAATCGAACCACGGACATTTGACTTTGACTTACGAAGATTAGGTCAGAATACTTCTTGCTTGTTAGTTTTACTGGTTTTGTGTTGAGAGATTCTAATTTAATATCACAAATATTTTCTGTCAGTCTTTTTATTTCAACACTGTCATACTCTTTATGGTAATGACTTAGTTTGAAAAAGAAATTAGAAGGCATGTCCCCTCGGACCATAAATTCCATAATTTCACTCCACTTTAAATTTATGCGCTTTCTCTAATTGATAGAATTCTTATAAATTTTAACTCTTTTTTAAAATCCAAGAAATCTGAGTACTTCGTTAGAATAACGACTTAAGGTTGTTTTCTTCTGCCCAATCGAAAAATTGGGTACTGTTGAGGGTTCAAAAAGATCCCCAGCACCTATTATGGCAGTATTTATTGTACTATGAGCAGAGTTCCCCTCATTCTGCCCATGGTTTGTTTCGAAAAACCTTAGTGATATTTTTTCACAATTATCAAGAGATTTTTATTCTGGCCATAGCAGCCGTCCGAGTAGAAAGAAAGGGTAGTAATTTGGTCTTTGTTCGTAAATTATTCCAAAGATTTATAAATACATGTAGATATTTCAGAAGAACTTCTGTTACTCAAAGTTTCATTTAATGAAAAGAAAGACATTCTTTGGTACCAATATTGTAAAAAGTAAAATTAAATGTTGCTAAGCTTATTTTGTAGTAAAAAGCATTCTCTTTGCTTCTTGGCAAGTATATGACTTGTTATAAATCTAAAACTCTGCAGAGAAATAATTTATTTTCTATTGTTCTTTTTTTGTCTACAGCTTTTAACTCTGGTACTTTTTGCTTCTCTGCAATATGCCGTGTGTACTTTTCTTTTAAATTTTCATTTACAGTGAGATCTCCTTGAAAGTAAGGTATATATAGGGAACATTGATTCTTTTTTTGATTGTAGAAAGATAAATTTTGCTATTTAAATATTTTTCGGTACGTACTATAACTCGGTTTGTTAGTAAAAATTGTTTTTTTCAAAATGCTCCAAAAACATATTGTATATCTTGGGCAAGGATAAGTCAGAATTTAAGTACGTTCTTGAAGTTATCGATGCACAGTCATAAGATTCTACACAAAATAAACGTAGCATCTGTTCAGTCAGGTTTCAGTTTATCCTGTGGATCACATTTTATTTTACTTTACTAAGATACCTAAAGTCACTTAGAACAGTTCGTGAGGAAAATATTCTGCGTTATTGCAGATAGGACACAGAAGTAATGTGCTATATTGCATGCACTATTAAGGTTGTAGATGTGCCACTTCGTGAGATGATAAAGTAGGTTAAGACTAGTTAATCCGCACAAAAAAAACATTTTTTTAATTTTTGTTGGTTAGGTCACTTCGTGATAAGGGCAACGATATATTCATTCTAGTTCAATAATTCGTAATACTCAATGTTTAACCGGTTTTGATGAAAGATATTTTCAAATTTAAAAAAATGTAATTTTTAATTGGTGTTTGGATTCCAAACCAATTAATTACTTCACACTCAAAATAGGTATATTGAAACCAATTCACAGAGTAATGCAAAAAGTATTGAAGCAGATTTTTATTATGACTATGTCTTCAATGTTAAAAAGAGAGTTTTTAAGTTGTTTTGATAACTTCCTGATAGTGATTAGAACTTTATAGATATATTTAACTTAAAATTTATTATTATTTCTATATATCAATGTCTTTTTAGTAATTATTGGTACGTATTATTCAATTAATTTTTAATTAAATTGATAGTGTAATTGATAAAGATAGGTTGTCATATTTTTGCTGTATTTTAAAGATAAAAAAATAGTTTCTAATTATACTATTGGTACATTAAAATCTACTATTTTAGGAAGTGTAGTTACTAACAA